AGATGGCAGAAGTGTCGGAGGATGATGCGTTGGATCCAGAGGTTGGTGGGGTGGTACGTGAGGACAGGGGGATTCTGTTTTGGTTGTTATTGCAGGGAGGGGGTGTGAGGGATGAGTTGTGGGAAATGCAGGAGTCACGGTCGAGGGTGTTCTCAACCTCTGAGCGGGGGATGTTGCAGTCCTTGAAAAACGAGGACATCTGAGATGTTCGGGAGTGGAATGCCTCATCCTGGGAGCAGATGTGGCGGAGGCGAAGGAATTGGGAATAGGCGATGGCATTTTTGCAGGAAGTTGGGTGGGAGGAGGTGTATTCTAGTGCAGTTATCTGCAGTTCCTACTATCTCCTTAGCAAATAATTAGTTGAGGGCCAAAGTCAAATCCTCATGTCCCTTGAAATTGGTGCTGAAGTGTCAAAACATCCTTCATTCTGGGGGCTTTTTGGCACAGTGGTGTTGTGCCTACTGATGATCCAGGAGACTGAGATTGTGAGGTGGGTCCCAACGTGTCTGAGCATGTGGGTGAAGGATACCTGTAACAGTCTGTACCAACTTTGAGTTGTCACATTTCTAGGTATCACATCTTGTTATGGATGCTTTAAAAAAAATTAGTTGATATTGGTTTGGCCCAGTCCCAATTCTCCAATTTCAAAGAAGCTTCCAATCTCTTCAAAAGTTATTCACCTTCTAATACTGATGGAATCATTTCCTTCTGTTCATAGGCTTGGAATGTTGGTTTCAGCGTAGTGGATATGGACTCAGTTGGCCTTTCCAATGATTATGACATTGATGGAATTGATGAAGCTGATTCCAATGAGGAGGATAATGATGAGGAATCAAATGAAGATGAGAGTGAACAAAATGAAATCAGTAAGTATCACCTGAGGGTAAATTTACTGGTAACAACATGAACAACTTACATGCTTGGATCATATATTTCCTGGTCCGTTCTTGGGGTTCTTGTGCCACAGTAGTAATGCCCCTATCTGAGCCAGGAGACCAGGCTGAAGGCCCTATCTGGTCCAGGGGTGTGTAATAATATCTCTGCTCTGTTCTTCTTAACTAAGTGGTAGTAACTTTAAGCTAGACCTAACCTTTAAGCTAGAATGCTTGTTTTCACAGGTATTTTAGCATTGATAGAACTTGATCTTAGTGGCCAGAGGTGATTGTTTTGTTTTATTATTTATTCACAGGATGTTGATGTTGCTGGTTGGACCCAGCACTTATCACCTATCCCTTGCTGCCCCAGAGAAAGTGGTAGCGAGCTGTCTCCATTTGATGAGCTGCAGCCTTATTGGCGTAGATACACCCACAATCCCCCTTGTGGGGACGTTTGGCGTAGATACACCTACAATCCCCCTTGTGGAGACGTTTGTCCTGATTTTTTCAATCAACAGTTTTTACCTCCTTGCACTTTAGTATGATAAAACAAGGATCGTCTAGTTTAGAGATACTCATTCAAGATAATGATGTTAGTCCCCTGTATTTGTTGGGCAGAGATCGAGGGGAGGATTCACTCTTTTGAGGTGACCTGAATTGCCCTTGGTGATGAAAAATACAGAAGTTGAAGACCAGCTCTGGGTTGAGTAATAGTTATGAAGATTTGTGACAATTCATTAATTGTGAATTATTTTTTGTGTTGCAGAGGACAGTAATCCCTACTTGATCATCCAAGATGCTGATTAACTGGATTGAAGGAAATGTTGGACCTAAGGTTGGGTTCCTTATGGATGTTCCAGTCTTTGATTTATTTAACGTGGTGCTGATGGATAGTTCTGGTCACTTTCATCACTGGAAATTTTACAGGAAGGAAATTTTACAGTTTAAAAACATTTATTTTATTTGGGGTATAAGGTTTCTGATGTTGTATAGATTATATCATACAAAGTTCTGAACAGTTCCTCATCAACGTCTTCAAGATTCTACCAAGCTGGTTCTACATCTAAAACATTACTAATAATAATTTACTTGCACACAAATATTTTTCTTCATTTTTGAGATGTGGGTGTTGCTAGCATTTACTGCCCGTCCCTAGTTGCCCTTGAGAAGGTGGGGGAGAGCTGCCTTCTTGAACTGCTGCAGTCCATGTGCTGTAGGGAGACCCACAATGCCCTTAGGGAGGGAATTCCAGGATTTTGACCCAGCGACACTGAAGGAACAGTGACATATTTCCAAGTTGGGATGGTGGGTGTCTTGGACGGGAACTTGCAGGTGGTGGTGTTCCCATGTATCTGCTGTCCTTGTCCTTTTGGATGGAAATGGTAGTGGATTTGGGGAGTCCTGTTAAAGGAGTCTTGGTGAGTTGCTACAGTCAAATTAACTTTTAAATATTAGGGCACATCTGTTTTATGTAGCATTTAACGGTAAACCGTCAAAGAAATATGATGTTAAGGACTTAGATATTGTATCAGACAGTGCTGACCCATTGATCTGTACATGTTTATATTATCTGTATGTCGGCATATCTGTGAGAGATAAGGGCTTTAAAAAATTATTTCCATTGAATCGGACTTGATTTTGTAGATTGCTTGTGTCTCCTCTTGTTGAATCTATTTGATAAATTCTACTCAATAAAATATTTTCAGAAAATCTTTTGTGCAGGAGTGATTTAATTGTATAGATGCTTGGGAATGTTGTAAAGATCCCATAATTTTAACACCATTGAAAGACAGACATATACACATAAGCTTAAGCTCACAATTCTACATGAGTCAGTGAATCATAGAATCCCTATATTGCAGATAGAGGTGATTCAGCCTATCCAGTCTGCACTGAGCCTTCACACACCCACTCTATCCCCCTTAACCATGCCTAATCCCCCTGACCTACATGTCCCTGGATATTATGGGCAACTTAGCATGGCCAATCCACCCTAACATGCACAATTTTGGACTGTGGGAAGAAACTGCTGCACCCAGAGGAAACCCACACAGACACAGGGAGAACATGCAAACTCCACACAGATGGTTGCCTGAGGCTGGAATTGAACTCAGGTCCCTGGTACTGTGAGGCAGCAGTGCTAACCACTGTTGCGCCCCAAATTCTAGCCAAATAGACTGTGTTTGAAGTTCCCGCAATGTTTCAGCAATTACTGAGTTCCCCTTTCCTTTTTCACATCCTTTCATCTCTCTCAGGCTGCACTCTATGCCATTCTCATTCTATTTCTCTCCCTCTGATACATCTCCATTTCTCCAAATCCCTATCCTCCCTCACAGTCTTTCAATTTGTAATGGCTACCATCATCCCTGAGCTATCTCTGCATATTTTTTTCTTTGTTTCACATGGCTTTACCAGCCTGTCGTCATATAGCTTGGACCCAATTGACTCCAACGTCCCAGAACAGAGCAGCCCAGAAAGCACACCAACACCTCTACATCCTCAGGAGGCGAAGGAAATTCAGCATGTTCACACAGACTCTTACCAATTTTTATAAATGCACTGTAGAAAGTACTCTATCCAGATGCATCACAGCCTGGTACGGCAACTGCTCTGCCCAAGACCATGAGAAACTACAGAGAGTTGTGAACACAGCTCAGTCCATCACACAAACCAACCTTCCTTCCATTGACTCCATCTATACTTCCCACTGCCTCGGAAAAGCAACCAACATCATCAAAGACCCCTCCCACCCTGGTTACACTCCCTTCCACCCTCTTCCGTCGAACAGAAGATACAAAAGTTTAAAAACGTGTACCAACAGACTCCAGAACAGCTTCTTCCCCGCTGTTATCAGACCGATGAACAGGCCTCTCATATAAGAGAGTTGATCTTTCTCTGCACCTTCTCTGTCGTTGTAACTCTATATTCTGCATTCTGTTCTGCTACCCTGATGTATTTATGTAAGGTATGATTTGCCTGGATGGCATGCAAAACAATACTTTTCACTGTATCTTGGTACATGTGACAATAATAAATCAAATCAAATCAAATCAAACGTGCCTGCACATCACTTTAACAGAGTCTCCCCTTAGTCTCTAAGTCCCCATGTTTTATCCCCAGATTCTCTCATGGCTGAGTATTTCCCCACTTCTCTTTTGAAAGTTATTCTTGAATCTGTTTCCACTGCCCTTTCAGACAGTGCATTCCAGATCACAACAACACACTGTGTCAAAAGAAAGTTCCTCAAATTCCTATGGATCTTTGCTTATTACTTTCAAATCTGTGCCCTTCCTGCAAATGGGAACAGCTTCTCCTCATTCATTCAACCAAAACGCTTCATGGTTTTGAATGTCTCAGTTAAATTTCTCGTAAACCTCCCACCTTGCTTTAAGGAGAATAATTGTAAATCCCTCAATCTCTGGAAGGAACTGAATTCCCTCATTCCTGCTCCATTTCACATACAGGGGCCCTCTCTGAGACATTCTTCTGAAAGTGTGGTGTCCGGAGACTGAGCCGGTCACTGCAGCGAGCTGAACATAAATGATGAGCTGTGAATGAGGCCTGGGCTCAACTCAATGTAGAAATGTCAGAATTAAGAGTGATGTTGGATTTGCGAGAGATGTTGGAGTTGGGAGAGATGTTGGAGTTGGGAGAGATGTCAGAGTTGGGAGTGATGGTGGATTTGGGTGCGGTCAAAATTGGAGAGATGTTGGAGTTGGAAGTGATGTCGGGGTTGAGAGAGGTGTTGGTGTTGGCAGAGATGAGGGATTTTGGTGTGATGTTCGATTTGGGAATGATGTCGGATTTGGGAGTGAGGTCAGATTTGAGAGTGAAATCAGATTTGGGAATGATGTTGGTTTTGAGAGTGATGGCGGAGTTGGGAGTGATGGCGGTGTTGGGAGTGATGGTGGAGTTGGGAGTGATGGCGGTGTTGGGAGTGATGTCAGTGTTGGGAGTGATGTCAGTGTTGGGACTGATGTCAGTGTTGGGACTGATGTCGGTGTTGGGAATGATGGTGGTGTTGGGAGTGATGTCAGTGTTGGGAGTCATGTCAGTGTTGGGAGTGATGGCGGAGTTGGGAGTGATGGCGGAGTTGGGAGTGATGTCAGTGTTGGGAGTGATGGCGGAGTTGGGAGTGAGGGAGGAGTTGGGAGTGATGGCGGAGTTGGGAGTGACGGCGATATTGGGAGTGACGGTGGTGCTGGGAGTGAGGGCGGAGCTGGGAGTGATGTCTGTGTTGGGAGTGATGTCGGTGTTGGGAGTGATGATGGAGTTGGGAGTGAGGG